TATATGTGTAAATAGAAGTATCCTGACACCCTAAAACCTTGGATTAAAAAGAATGTGCATTGTACATCTTTAAAAAAGTATATTAATTTATTAAATCTAGTTGTCACTTTATTTTGGACTGCTGTTCTGTTGACAATGTGCCACAAAGCAATACTGCAAAGAGGCAAGATGTTTTTATAAAATCTGGAGCTTACTTTATGGCGTTCATAACAGTTCTTACTGTAGTAATATAGTGTGAGTTTTCATGAGTGGAAGAGCCACACAGAGAAGTAAGTAACTGTCTTACAGTCAGCAATGAAGTGGCTGTGGTGAGAACATAATGAACTATGTATCTTGCTGTCAAGTCTTTTTTATTATTTTGTATAACACCAAAGCTGTTGTACATTTTTCTATTGCCTGATTGTTTTTCATGTGTCTGAGTTTGTAATATTGTACAGTTGCTGTTAAATCAAGAAAATACTTCCTCTTCTGAGAATTCAGACGTACTTGTTGAGACTCAGCTGGGTGTTTCTGTTGGGGGAGACGGGGTGGGGGGGCACAGGGGGGTGGTATCGGCTTTAGGAATCGGGATTTCCTGAACTGAAACAGTAAGTAATTTACTAAGATTAGGTGATGGAAGCATTTAAAGGTACCAAGGAAAATTAGATAGGTTCATAACTGAAACTGTAGCCAATTTCTTATCAATAATAGAAATTTTCAGGACCTCAGGGGGAGGGATGAACCTTATCTGATGTGTTTGCACAGAAACAACAGAGTGTAAGCGACATTTTGACCTGGTCCTTAACTAAAGAGCCTGAAATCTCTTTTTCTGTAAGTTACCAAAGTTGCAAATTTTAGTATGAATTTTATATTGCAGTTACTTCAAAACAAACCCCCAAACAAACAAACAAACAAAAAAAGACCTACAGCAAGTATCTCTTTTCTTTTGGAATTGGTAACTGTGAATTTTTATGGGAATAATATCGGGGAAGTAATTTACCTTGTACCATTTATGGCCTGTGGGGCAGGGAAACACATATGCTGTTAAACAAGCAAGGAAAAGTTAGCAGATTTCTTTGCAAGGATACAGTCAAACAAGAGCCACCAAATCAAGTCTGTGCTATTTCTATATGTAGATAAGAGTTCTTTTGCAGTAATGTTTGGGGGATTTTTATGTATATATTTTAAAGTAACTACATAACAGTATTGCAAAGCTTTAAATAGCATCAAATCATATGCTTAGATCGGAGTATCTCTTGTAGATTAAATGGGGGAAATGTGAGTATACATTGCAGCAATCAGAAAATCGATGGAACATTAAACTTGCTGCTCAGTACACTGTCCTCCAGTATTCCATACTTGACCATATGTATATATAATTAATACTTGAGAATCGCTTGGCAGGTGCTTTGAGAGCATCATCTCCTTTTATTGATGTTGCATCTCTGATCTGATGTGTTTTGAGTTAATGTGGTCCAGGCTGTGATGGTGGCAGTTCATTTTCCAGTGTCTGTACTTGTGTTCGGAGGCAGTGAGCACAAGCCAAATGCATCTGAATCTAGTGGCAGGAGGATTGTGCTGTCATTATCAGAAGGTCAGAAACTACTATCTCATGGAATCACTGTTGTCCTGATGGTTTTGAACCATAAATATTACCCTTTGGAGTGATTTATTAGGAAACTTCCAATGAACTGAAATCATAGAAAAATAACCAAAATGTTTTTCTCTCATTCACTGACTAAATGCTAAATTGAGTATTCGCCCAATATATTTTTGGTGTGCATAAATACTGCATTTGACTATTTACAGTGGTGTACATTGTGGGACAGATATATTTTCACAATATTAAACTCACTGGTAACATACATGCTTTCTTACACCAAGATTCTGTCTTTGACATATCTTTCATAAACAGTTCCAAAATGGTCTTACCACTCAAAGATCGCTAGCACTTCTGCACATCATGTGGAATTTGCAGCAGTGTGGTTCTTGTAACTTTGTGTTTTTATCCAGATAAACTGGTCTTAACATTAAAATTTATTAAGAAAAAGCCTTTTTGCAATTTCTTATTATGGTTGTTTTGCAAGGCATAACAGAAGAAACTGAACCAGGCATGAACCAGTTATGCAGTGTGAACTGTAGCTATTTTACTGTGGCTTACATTATCTGTATTCACTCTTTGTTAGGGAGAACTGGCTTCAAATCAACAGTTGTGCTTGCTTTTGCACTTCTTTACAGATTCTCCCTATATCCTTATTTTTGCACGTGTTTTGGGAACGAAGATGGAAGTAGTATAGAACAAGAATTAAGTAACATTGCTTTTCTATTGGTTTAAATTTTGATAGTTTGCCTTACTGTGCTGTGTGTACTCTGGCATAGAAACTTGATAGTAAGCATGTACGTTAACTGGCTGTTACTAAGATAGCTGGCAGCTCTATACCAGAACCTTCCATCTCTGCTGGAGTAATACAGCATGCAGTGGTCGTATTACTCTTCAAGCCGGAAAAAATCTCTGTGTGTGCATGTGGTTTTACCACAATGTAACACTGAATCTTGGAGGGGTTGGAGAAGCAACCTGGCCTACTTCGTGTATCTCTTCTGTGGTGTTGAGAATCTACTGCTGTTAGCAGTTCTACAGGCCTTCATCAAAGAACTGGCTCTGTAGCCGTCTTTTGATTATTGAAAAGTTAATTGTGGCACAGCTTTGGTTTTACACAGATTATTTTATATTGATTAAAAATAGTAAAAACTGCATCTTTTCTCTGATTCCCTCTTCTCTGCTGGGTAAAGCCTACGTTATTTGTTCAGTTTCCGAGGGCCCTCTGAGACCCGTAACTATTTTCTGTCAGCCCTTACCTCAGTAAGATACAATCACAGAATGGTTTGTTTTGGAAAGGCCCTTAAGATCATCTAGTTCAAACCCCCCTGCCATGGGCAGGGATGCCTCCCATGAGACCCCCTTACTTGAGGCCCCTTCCAACCCAGCCTTGAACACTGCCAGGGATGGAACATTCACAACTTCCTTTACTCTCACAGTAAAAAGTTTCATCCTTATATCTAACCTTAATCTCCCATTAAATTTTCAGTGATGCCAGCTCCAACACCAGTTACAGTACTCATGTTACTTTTCAGCTGAGTGCATTAATTCCTTGCTTTTTCCTAAGCTCAAGCAAAGGTCTTCATAAAACTGCACAGCAGCCCTGTGGTTCTTTGGAGAACTCCGTAAGAAGCCCTCTGCCTGGTGTGTTGACTCCACTGCCTGACATACTGAGCAGTGCCATTTCATTTCTGTATACTGCACTGTCTGTCTGCTCGTTTATGTCTAGACTGGAAATTCTCCATGGCAGGGTCAGTGTTCTTGTTCTGCTCACCTGTGAAAGGGCAGCATACAGCCTGAGCAGTGAGTGGGGTTCTTGGTAAAAACAGTGTTACAGTAGTAAAAACATCGAGCAGAGAATTGAATCTCAGTAGTATGAAGTTCAGGACACCAAAAAAAGGAAGCCCTCTCCTGAAGCGGATAAGGGAACAGCTTTTACAAAGTGTAACGGTAAGTTAAGAGTTCTCTGATGTTTCAGTTCTTGCATGGATTGGATGGAACTAAAGAATTGCATGGTTAACAGGGATTTTATTAAGTCCGATTATTCCAGACAAGCTCTGCTTCTTAAGCTCTTAGTTTGGAAGTCACCATAAATTGAGAAATAATAGGCTGAAATCAACGTTACTCAATAATAGACATTTCTAGAAGATGGCATTTCCAAAGGTCAGATTCTGTTCCAAACTAACTGGCATATTTGGAATTCAATGTAACACTGAGGCATGGAGCAGTACCAACGTAATTTCACAACACTGCCATCAGTTCTGCAGTTTACACACTCGCGATTACCTCTTGCTTGTTGAGTAGGGGCCAGTGCCAGAGCTGCGTAGCCACTTCTGAGGGGTTTTTACCCCCTGTATAAGGAGAAATCAAACATACCATGAGGTTGGGGCAGGGGCATTGCTCACCCTTCCTTGTCTGATTTATGTTAAACCACTTGGCTTTGAGGAGCACCTCTCTGGCAAATGACGCCACTTTTACCTGGCAAGAAAAGACTTGATTGTTGCTTAACAAAACCAGAGGGCACTGCGGTGCTGGAGCAGCTGGTACGGCCCGTGCTGTGCTTGGTGGGACAGTCCATCGGCAGTATTGCAGTCCTGAACAGCCAGGACTTTGAAGCAGCAGCTGCTATAACGGGAATTTGGGGAGTACATTGGCTGTGTCTGTTTTGCAGCTCACTCAGCCTTTGTTCACATCTCGTTCAAGCCTGGACGTGTTGCCTGTTTGAAAGAGAACTCCCGAAACCCGCTCCAAGTCTGTTTAGAGACGGACACTGCTTACTGCGCACAGGGTGCTCGGTGGTGCATGTCTACGCTTACCTGCTGCCGCGGCCTTTCGGTTCTTCCCAGGCGGCTGAGGGAGGCGGGCGTCGCTCCCGCCTTCAAACAACGCCGGCACAGCCCGCGCCGGCCCCGCCTGCCCCGTTACGCCTCTGGGCCCGCGCCCGGCTCCTCCCTCCGCGTTGCCGGGCAGCCGGGGCCGCGGCCGGGGGCAGCAGAGGCGGCTGCTGCGGGCGGTGCGGTTGGGGCCTGTAGTCTCGGGTCTGGCCGCGGCCCCTAACAGAGAAGAGAGGGTTTGGCCCGCCCTCAGCCCGCGGGCCCGCTTGCCGGCAAACCGGGTAACCGGTGCCACGGCTGAGCCAGCCTGACCTCCGTGCCCTCAGCTGTTGGGTTCAGCTTTGTGCCAGGTACCTGCGGCTGGTTTGGGGTGAGTGAGCAGAAAAGGAGGAGGTAAGAGCGAGGAGGGGTGGCAGAGATGAGGTGACCTCTGTGTTTAGCAAGAGAGTTGAATGGGACAAACCTACCTGTATGAGCAACGTGCAGTGTGTAACTGCAGCACGCTTTTTGTTCATCAAGCTGTAAGGTTTTCATGTAAAGTCTGCAGGAACACAGATTAGTCACTTTTTGCTACATTGTTTGTTTGGCTCGGTTTGTTTTAATACCTAAACATAATATAAACTTGGTAATCTACATGCTGTAGCTCCTGTACAAAAATGACAAGACTCTCCTTGGCGTACAGTGGTGAGTTGTCAACACAGCTAGCTTTCACATGGGCATGGGTGGTGTGACTTGTCTGGACTACCGGCTGTGCAAGTTTACACCGTGGTAGGCTTGAGGAGAAAGATTAAATTAAAACTACCTAAGGACACATATTAAAGCCTTACTCGGAGCTGTGGCTGGTGTCCCAGCGCCAGTGTTCTACTCGGTGTTGACACCAAGGTTGTTTGGAGATGCACAGTGCCCATCTGCTCACCCTTCTCAGTCTGTCAGTTCTCCAGTAGCCCCAGCTGTTGAGTAGGACAGGAGAGGGTTTGGGTACAAGGTGAGCCCCATGTGCACATGCAGGTTTTTATTCATATTGTGTGTCTGTGAACTGCTGTTTTATTACTCCTTTCAGGTCTGTATGACTGAACACAAAGGACCATGCCTCTTCCAGAAACCATGTTTTGTGCTGAGCAGATCAGAATCCCCCCTGAATTACCTAATATTCTGAAGGAATTCACCAAAGCGGCTGTTAGGACTCAACCTCATGATGTTTTGCAGTGGTCAGCTGCGTAAGTAAGGTGCTCACATAACAGTGGAGTGCTATGCGTATGGGCCCACAAAATCTCACTGTCGTTTATTGTACAGTGAAGCTGGCTGTGACTACTAAACCAACCTGTATATCGCCTATGTGCTTCTGGGCCTTTTAAAAATGGTGGGATACTTGATGTATTTTCTGTTTCATTGAGGTTTAGGACTGGCATATTTCTGGCATAGTTTGGTTTCCAGACAGAAAAATGCATCTTAATTCTTTTGTTATTAATTTCTCTGTCCTGAAGACCAAAAATTTTTCTTCTTTTTCTCCTCCTCGCATGTGAGACTTTAATTCTTGTAATTTAAAGGAAACCTAGAAAATAGTTTTCTCATTCTTAAGCTTGCTTAGGTTTCGGGTTTTTTTTTTTTTGTTTCCAGACACAAAATTAAGGAGTGCCCTTAAATGTTACTGAAATAAGGAAAAAATCCTGAAAAGTTGCAACTTACAGGTGATAGTACACATAATAAACCTCTCACTGTAAAGTTGATTTAAGATGCTTGGGGTGATGGATGTGCAGTGAGCTTTCCCCAGCTGAGCAGACAAAAGCAGCAGACACTGAGGAAGGTAGTAGCTTAAGCCTGCAAGGGTATGTGGCTGATGAGAGCAGGGGCAGTGTGGCACTGCCATGGCCATGCCACCAGCCATACCTTGACCTCTGCTTGAAGATTGCACTAGCTCGATGGCAGGAGTCCCTGCAAATGGGTAGGTGGTTGCTGCTGATTGCACATCCGTCTTTGTGGAATATGCTCTGGTGTGAGAGCACCTGTGGCAGAGCAATGTCTGGACCTGCGAGCCATGTGAAGCAGAGCAGAGCTGTGGTTTCACACTCACTGCCAACCATAGAATAGAATCATAGAATAGTTAGGGTTGGAAAGGACCTTAAGATCATCTAGTTCCAGTCCCCCTGCCATGGGCATGGACACCTCACAGCAAATCATTTCACCCAAGGCCTCGTCCTACCTGGTCTTGGACACCGCCAGGGATGGAGCATTCACAACTTCCTTGGGCAACCCATTCCAGTACCTCACCACCCTCACAATAAAGAACTTCTTCCTTAAATCCAATCTAAACTTCCCCTGTTTTAAGATTTAACCCGTTACCCCTTGTCCTGTCACTACAGTCCCTAATGAAGAGTCCCTCTCCAGCATCCTTGCAGGCCCCCTTCAGATACTGGAAGGCTGCTATGAGGTCTCCACACAGCCTTCTCCAGGCTGAACAGCCCCAGCTTTCTCAGCCTGTCTTCATACAGGAGGTGCTCCATTCCCCTGGTCATCCTCGTGGCCCTCCTCTGGACTTGTTCCAACAGATCCATGTCCTTTTCATGTTGAGGACACCAGAACTGTACACAATACTCCAGGTAAGGTCTCACAAGAGCAGAGTAGAGGAGCAGGATCACCTCCTTCAACCTGCTGGTCACGCTCCTTTTGATGCAGCCCAGGATACGGTTGGCTTCCTGGGCTGCGAGTGCACACTGCAGCTGGCTCATGTTCATTTTCTCATGACAAGGACCTTGCACTTGTCATGGTTAAACTTCATGAGGTTGGCATCAGCCCACCTCACAAGCGTGTCAAGGTCCCTCTGGATGGCATCCCTTCCCTCCAGCGTATCAACTGAACCACACAGCTTGGTGCCATCAGCAAACTTGCTGAGGGTGCACTCAATCCCACTGTCCATGTCAGTGACAAAGATGTTAAACAAGACCGGTCCCAACACCGATCCCTGAGGGACACCACTCCTTACTGGTCTCCAGCCGGACACTGAGCCATTAACCACAACTCTTTGGGTGCAGCTATCTCTGTATAGGATGTTACAGTGTTGTAGTGCTTGTCCCTGTGAATAATCAGAAGGAGAAATTAGAACGGCAAATGCTTAGTTCTGCTGTGCTGCTTGCTGTTCATTTCGGCCAGTATTTGGACAACATGGGGTAGCTTGGGCATGGACATGGGTGCCAGGGTAGGTCAAGGAAGATGAACAGAGAAGCCTTTAAATTAGACCTACCACTAACTGAATGAAAACCGAGGTTTCCTTGCATAGTTCAGATTGCTGACCAGCTATGGCAGATATGGTTTCTCTTAAGGCTGTGGTGCCTTTATAAGTGAAAGGATATAAATCTAATTCCCTTTCTGCTCTAGTCTTACAATTTATTTTGGAGTGGACGTGGATAGCAGAAACGCTGATGAGAGTTGCAATAATAGCCAGTTGTGCTTCTTGGGTAGTGTATGAGGGGAATGTTAAGCAAATGAGCCCTCAGGTGCTCATCAGTCACATAGGAAAAACCTGCACTTCAGTTTGCACCTGCACTCTGTTGTTAATAAATCATTGCCTTTCCCAAGAAGGGCTGAGTATGTCATGCACAAAGGAAGTTAAATGCCTGAAGAATTATTAGAACATTTTTAAAAAGGAGTGTGTAAAGCCTAAGTATCATGGTTTCCACTAAAAAGAAAGGTGGTATCTACGGCATGAGAGTTGTGTGCACGGGCGGCTTGCTAAGTGCTGCTGCTCCTGCATGGGAGTGTGTGGATTCATTCACTGGACTGTAACAGCATTTATTTCTGTGCAGCTTGTAATGGCCATACGCATTCAAGTGTGTTCTCTTCCCATTCACTTAGGTATTTTTCAGCGTTGTCAAAAGGTGAGACCCTTCCTGTGAAGGAGAGGCTGGAAATGCCTTTAGCAATAGAGAAAACGGATGCTGTTTTGACCAAAGGACTCCTTAAAGTCTTGCACAAACAGGTATAAACTAGCCTTTATCAAATGCACAATGCTGTTGAGGAATGCTGATGCATTGGGGATGGCTGGGGAGACTGATTGGCAAGTATCTGATATATTTTGGGGAGGGATACTGTTAGTTTCATTCTGGTTTTCAGAGTTCTTACTGTGGTACCACGATTTTGTTTAAAGCTTTCTCCCAAAGGCATAGTGAATGTTGTGGAACTGAAGGAGAAATGGAAGCACTTGTGCTTGCCAGAGGAGCAGCTGGAAGCTATCCTGCAGTTGGACAACTTCGGCAAAGAGGTGGAATGGATGAAGTTTCTGGCACTTGGGTGCAGCGTGCTTGGCAAGGTATGGTAACAGCAACAGGAGCCCTCAAATCCAAATACAAATGGTCGTATATGATCATGTATGAGGTAGACCACAGAACAATTAGGGCAAATGGACTTTGGGGATTGCTTTTGCAGCAGCCAGAAAAGTGGCCTGTGTGTTTACCTTTGTTCCCCATCAGCTTTTGATCAGGAAAGCTTAATCAGAAAGACAGCTAAGTCCTCAGCTTACTGGGAGGGCATTAGAAGAGTAAGCATGTCTGCAGGGAGCTTGGACCATGAGAGAGAGGATCATAGAGGAATGATGCTTATGGCATCAAATTAATGATGCTTATGGCATCAGTATAAATGTCTGTGAGGGAGAACTGGAGGGAGAAATTAAACCATCAATACATAATTGATTGTGCAGTCAATTAAATTTTCACAGAAGCAGTTAACGTTACTGAATCTAAATTTAATTCTTTTAATCTCAGTAATAAAATCTCAGCAGAGCATTTCCACAGAATGAGAGGTTATAAAATGCACTAAGCTGATGATCTTATGAAGTATAACGCTGCTAATGATTTCTGCGGTAGGGAAGAAGGGGTACTAAAAAGAAAGTACATATTGAATAATATTTTGACAATGTTGCAATCTCTGGAAGTCCTGAATGCTGTCCTGGCCTGGTGATAGAATTATGTGTATGTGCGTATACATATATATTCATTTCAACTGTGTATTTCTTGATTCTAATCCCACCCCTCAACATGATTTTGTATTTTGGGCTTTTTTTCTGAGTTAAAAAAAAAAAAAGTAACAGCAACATTACTTATTAAAAAAAAATCAAAACCAGAGTGACAGGAACCTCGTTCTGATGGAGCTAGACAGCCTAAATTTACCTCCATCTATCCATCCTTTCAGATATTAAGTCAATTATTTGATTTCAGCTGTATGTAATGAAATCTAAACTTCAGTTTCCTAAATCAGAGAGGAAGACACACACAAATTTATTTCCTTTGCTGTAAATTATGTTCATAGTTGAATAAGGTCACAGTTAGGATACAAGAGTAGACAAGCCTGAATTTAAGAACACCAGTGATCTGAGGTATCTTTCTGCAAAGCACTGGTGTGTTTTTACAGCCTTGGAGAAATGACCACAGAGGTTAAATTGTCTTTCAAAGATGGCAAAAGCAATGTGAGTAACTTTGCTGTGTTGTGAGAGAGCAGCCGCTTGGAGTGGCAGGAGCAGGAATGGCAGTAGTGGGGTAGCAAACTGCAGGGGGTAGATAAGATTCTGCCATCTATAGGCAGCTACCTCTCCTTTTGCAGAAAGGCCACCCAGGGGAGGAATTGCACTAAATAAACTGTTACAGATTATAAACCGTCACTTCTCTGGCCTGTGTTCTACATACCGAACAGACACTGTATTTATTTTAAATATTGCTGTTCTACTCTTAGGAAATACTTATCTTTTTTTCAAAGGCATCGCTTGCTTGTTAATACAATACAATACAAACCCTTTGAAAAGGTTATAGAAAAATGTTACAACTTGGGTTAAAAAAGGCCTGTGTGGGTTTTTGTTTGTTTGTTTTAATGGCATGCAACCAGTCTTTGACTCAGTGAAGCTCTATGCTGAATTTCCCTGTTTAGCTTAGTACGCATTGGACACTGTGTTATGGCAGTGTACTGGATAAAGGATTCTTTCAAAGTATATTTGGAAGTAATACCTTGAGGCATGTTTGATTTTAAGGGAACCTGGACATTACTGGGCTTTGACTAAACTGGAATATGCTTGAAAGCCTTTTTGCCTCAGTGCTTTTTCCACTAACTACTATAATGGGGCTTGCACACAAATAAAGAATACAGTAAATAGCAGAACTCCTAAAAGTTAATATCATATTACAATGCCATAATAAAAATCAAACCCCTATCAGTTTTCTGGGCTTTGCAGATTTTTCTGTCTTAACTGCTGAGAATTCAGTTAGATCCGTTGAGATAATAAAAACACACACATATCCCTGTCACTAGGTATCGTGATGTTGGAGCTTTTACAGTAGCAGAGCAATTTGGCCATATGAAAACTAGGGCTCAGGCTACACCATGTGATACAGAGGGTACATTTGCTGAAACCTAGGCAACCATGATAAAGCCTTCATTTCATTTACACTATTAGTGGCTTACAGTGTGGATTTTGTCATGATGTGCAAAGGATGTTCATGGCCCTGATACTGTTTCTCTCATTTCTTGACTGAACCTCCCTGCAGTCCTTGCTGAGTTCAGTGAAACATGCCTGTGAAATCTTAACAAAGGACCCAGAAGGTGGAGCAGCTTGCATACCCTTCGAAACATTCTCATTTCTTTACTTGTATTTGGCCAGTATTGATGGAGAGATACCAAAGGAGGAAGTTGAAGTCTTCCTCCACAAAATTAAAGAGGAAGCGTAAGTAAAAATCCATTCATGCAATTTTAATGTATTGAGCACCTCTGGGTTCTCCATAAGCCTTTAATTTCAGGTGAGTAGTCTGTCTTCGCTTTGGCCACAGCCATAATAGGAGTAAAGATTGACTGAGGTTCTGCCACCATCACTGATGGGCTCAGCCTCACAGTGGCAGGTCCGTCTTGTAGCTGGCAGGTATTGGCTCTGTTGGACATGGAGGAAGCTTCTGGCAGCTTCTCACAGAAGCCACCTCATGTAGCCAGCCTTCACCTTTCCCTCTGTCACTACCAAAACCTTGACACACAAACCCAGGTCCACATACATGGGGGCTCAGAAAAGCAGACAATTGCACTGCTTTGTTTTGTATTAATTATCAGATTGACAATTTATTACTAAGAACCAATTTTTAATCACCCTGCTCTGGCTTGAAATTAATATAACCCTCAGTTATCTTGTCCAACACACTAGGACTTACCATGTTCAAATGTTATTCTAAAGCATTTCATTTATTCCTTTCCAGTGACAAGCAATCTGGCATGGTGCTGCTCAGAAACTTTTTGAGCCAGGCCTCAACACTGTTTTGATCAAGCCCACTCTTCATTATTGGGTGACAGAAGAAAAGAAAAAGTAAGAAACAAATGTGCAGAAAAAGAATCTGTGTTTAAAGGACTATTATTTGCACATCACAATAAAAGACCCTCTCCTGGCACTTTCTTTTCTTTATCGCACTCCTGAACTCTTCCTTCAGTGGGCCTCTCAAATATTGATGCTCAGACCTAGGGAGCAATACCTTCTCTCCGTATTTTGGTATGGATCTTCCTACCTATACTTTGCAAGTGTCATAAGAAGTAAACAATAGAATTAGACTGGACAGCTGTACTTGGTGTTATTTCTCATTATGCTTCTGCTAGCATTGACTTTCTGACTCTTACACAAATACAGCTTGTCTTTTGACCACTTTATCTACTCGAACATGCTCTCTTACCAAGCCTTAAGGAAAGTTCATGAGAACCCTGTGACTGAGCTGGTAGAAGAAATAGTAACTCAAGAAAGAACTGCAATGGTCCTTTTTCCCTCTAATTAGGACCTTTCACGTAACTTAAGTAAGCCTCTTTTTCCATTCTTAGATAGACTTGTCTAATTCAGGATCTGCTTTAAAATACATTTTGTTTTCTGACAAGAAAAGCTACTGCTACTGTCACGTAGGTGGCAAATGAGTTCAGTGTTCTTTTGAGCTGAATAGCTGTAGTAGGTACAGAAGTCTAAATCAGAACTAGATTTGTGACATCTAATCACACTTAATTGAAGAAACAATTGAGCTGAGACAGTGTACAGTAAACCTAGAGCGATTTCATTGACAGAAAAGGCCAAAACCAGGAGTATGCGGAGTGCCCTCTCCTGACAACTTGAGCAAGCAGAAGAGTGTTGTAGGAAAGATGAATCTGAAAGCTTGTTCTTTTATAGTTGCTTGCTGTGTTGAGGTAACAAGCTTGGCTGGTGATGTCTGACCTTGCTGTAGCAGATTGTGTGAGGAATTAACTGGGAATTGATATAATAAATATCTCATTGAAGTTAAGTGAATCCTCCTGCATGCCCTTAGTATGTACACTTACCTGCTAGTCTGCAGGATGGGAACTCCTCCTAGTTATTTCTGGAAGTAAATGGGTAGGCACCTGGTGTTTGAGAATGGCATTCAGCAATATTAGAGGTGTCCTTGGTGCCTCCCCACTAGTTTCCGTAGAGAGCTATATTCTTGTCATCTTTGCCACATGACACTGATACTAAATTTCTTTGAGCATGAGCTTAGGAACAGCAACTTTCCTGTTGTGGTCTTTTTACCACTAGCTGCAGTTGAAGACACTTCAGCCTGTTGGGAGAACTCTGAAATGTGCCCTGTCCCCTCTGGTTCATATGGTAACCAGACAGCAAGTGCTGCTGTTCTGGAACCCTGGTCCCAGAGGTGACAGTGTCAGGTGGGAGGGTATGAAGGGAGCTCTCTGCATGCCTTTTCCATTTGTAATTGATCCCAGACTCCAGCGATTAGTACTCTATCCACCATGTATTGGCCAGGAAGGCAAATTAGTACAGCCTCTCTGAGATTTCATTCTTCGGCCTTGTGAGACTAAACTCAGATGAGATCAATGTAATTTATTAAGAGATGCATTAGTGAAAAAATATACACATTTTCGGATGTATACTGCTTCCATCGTGACAAACCTTCACACTTTTGGTCTCCCAGCACAGCTGCAGCACCAATAGTATGTATACAGCATTACTGTCCCTGACACAACAGCAGTAATAACAGTTCTTGTGCAAGTCATTTTTTGAAAAGCTGACAAACAAAATAATCAGGTTCTTGCTTCTACTTTCTTCTTTTATAGTTGTGATACTTTTCTTCATCCCTGAAACAAAACCACAAACATTGTGTGGGCTGTTAGGCTCTGACTGACAAAATCTGAAGGAAAAAAAATACTTGGAAAGCATTCATTAAATGTAATGCATTCTTCTAAGGAAAGGAAGTAAACTACTTTAAGGCAGTTTATTTCCCATGCTTGTTTAATCAAAGCCTTGTCAAGCACTGCCATAGTAGCAATTAGTTTAGGATGAATGGCATCACTGGGAAATGAAGCCAGTTTTGAGATAAGCAATCATCTCCTTCTGTGCAGTTACCTACAGTATTTCTTCCATACACACCAGGAACAATGCAGCATTTCTGCTGGCCAGTAGTTTAAGTCTTCGCTCAAACACATGTCCCACACACCTATGGAGCAAACATGCAGGTGCAAACATGCCCGTGTTGATGGCATTAGAAGTGTGGCCTAGATTTGTTTTCTTTTGCCTAAAATTATATCCAGAAGTACTGAAAAAAACCAACACTGTTTTAAAGCAACTACCTTTGAAACGCTACTCAAGTGATTATGTGTGTATATGTAGTGGTGAAAACAAGTAATATTCCTGATTAAGTCCCAGTGCAAACTAGAGCAGAGATCAGCACGAGACATGACAAGCCCACATCACTGGTTACACAGACAGCATGCTCTCCTGTGCATATATTGATCAAGTAGAATAGCCAGCGACAGTACTGTGCTAATCCTGCAGCTCAAAGCATGACCTTTCAGATGTGAGGGTAAATCCCGAAGTCTGGATCAGAGTTTATGATCTCACAGCATGTTCTGTTTAGTATGAGTAGTCTCATGCCATTGGCTTGTTTCACAGTATAGGAGTTGAGCCCAGCTTTTTAACTGAACTAAGTATTCTAATTCTCTGCACTAATTTCTTACAGACAATGCTACAGCTGCCTGATTCAGAAACAGACCAGCTGTCACCATGTCTGCTCACCTCTCTCTTTTTCTCCGAGAATCTCTGTCTTTGCCTCTTTCACGACTCCTCCTTCGTTTACTTGGACTCCTGCTGCTCTCTCTCCTATGCCTGGTGCCTTCAGTATCTTTGGAGCTTCCTCCAGACTGCCGGGAGTCCACCGAAGCTGACCGCCTGTCTTCCTTCCTAAAACAAAGGTTATTGAGTCTGTTCAATAAAAACTGTTTCACTGTCACTGTTGTTTTCAGCACCACATTTATCATATAATGGCCCAGTAAAGGTTTAAGAACGTATCTTTTATTAAGGCTCTCTATCTCCCTAAGAAACACAATACATCCCAAAAGAGGCCCAAAGTCCATTCTCTTGTATATGCATGTCTCAGCACACTGTTTAATAGTTACTTCTTACAAACACTGCCCCTCAGTCTTACATTCTCTGCTCATGGAACAGGAGGCAGTAGAAGGGGTTCACCCTGTTTTGCTTTCAATCCCTAACTCTTCAACAACCTGCCTTTTAAGCCACTACCTACAGCTGGAGAACCCAGCAAGCCTGATCTCCTGTATGGCCTTTTCATTCACCTTCATTTTAATGCTGGAAACACCTTGAGTATCACCTTTTAATTTGTTTCAATACCATTTTCATCTCAAAGATCTCCTGAAGAAGCACAAATAGGCTACTGCCAGGTCATGATTCCATCTTCATTTCAGTGACAAACGTTTGGAAGAGTGTGTGGTGTTACTTGACACAGGAAGATACATGTATACACAAAACATGCTCCCGGTTAGCACAGCAGCATTCACAGTGATAAGAACTTTAAAGGGTCCCCATGTTTAGTAACTCAGGAAAACCTTTCTTCTGAGGTATTTTATCTCTACCATAGCATTTCCTGTCATGTGGTAGGGAAGGGGAAGAAATTGTATACTTCTATTTTCAAGTACCCTTCTGTCCCCAGCTACCACAGCTACCACATGCATACATATTTGGACACAAGAGGGAGCATTATTAATTCCGCTGCTCCACCAAAACCTACCTGTTCACCTGGATCACTTGTAACTTATTACCTTGCTCCCCTGACAGAAAGCTAATAATTCCTTTTGCCCCCATCCCTCACGTAGGCAGAGCTTCTCAAGCAAGAAATTAACAGCATTAGCAGATTATTAACTGTGCATATGTCTCAGCCAAGGTTGATATGTGCTACTAGAAGAAGGTGGTAAGATACAATTACAGGCCATCAGCCCACTCACATGCCCAAGGAATTTGTCAACTATGGCATACCTTCCTGAAGATTTTGACTTCCCGCCTTCACACATATCTGCATTATCCAACCTATTCTCCTCCTGCCAGTGATGGCCAAGTTCTTCCATATGCACACCAATCACATCACGAATCACCTGGAGATTACAATATATTAAATAGAAGCAAGAAAAGCAGCATGTCACGGTATGGGCCTAAATTTGCAACTAGACAGCAGAAAGTAAATATCCCCCCCAAACCTACAATTGGATGGTTGAATGGAAAGACTGATTTGAAAAAACAGGTATTTCGGCAGAAATTTAAATAGAACCCTTTTACAACAGACAGTCAACTACATCTTGCTGCCACCTTCATGTTCAAAATGTTATAGTCAGAAATGCTCCTGTTATTTGTAACTTGCTGCAATAAAAGACAATTTGAAAGAGTATCACATTGTTTATGCTGATATATAATAAGCACTTCCATGCAAAAAACCGCCTTATTTTCAGATCTCACCTCAGTGTAAGACTTCTTTGTTATATGAACGTTCTTAGCCCTGTATGACTGCCGTCGCCTTTTGTAATCTCGCATTTCAGCCAGAATTTCAAGATGGGACTTGGGACCTTTCTGACTATCATCTAGTGAAAAATTAGAAGTAAAACAGATGGTCATTAGCAGGACATTAGCACCTGCAGGTATGCAAGTCTGGGGCTTTAATAATACAAGTCTGAAACAGAAAATATATTGTGTTCTTTCTGAAGTTTCCCCAGTACTTAGTAACTATTATGAATTCAGCACAAGCTTCCTCTCCAACCTTTTTGCTAGCTGTTTACACAAAACTAAAAAGCCACTGAGCAAATCTCTTATGTGATCTCAGTCTCCTAACAGTGATCTAAATCAACATACGGGCTTGCAATTTGGTCAAACGGCTACAAAGTACAGGCCATGTTTTCATAGCCAGTATTACAATAAGGCACAGAGACTGAGAAAGCCAGATTCCGTAAATAATTTCCCTGTGTAGATCACAAACACTATCTCCTACCTCCATGCAGAGCAGGGCCCACAGGGTAACACTAATGCTTATGTTGCACTTGGTACAGTTACAAACTGGCATGACTCAACAGGGGTGAGAGGCCTCGGTCCAACACTCCTGTTTGTATATT